ACCAGTACTAACGACTGTGCGCTTCCTTGAGGGAACGAGAAGGTCTTTGTAAGGGACGAGCTGCAAAATCTGCCACTGCCAATTACTTCCGAGCTTCCCAGTTATATAAAGGGTTCAATCAGAAGTACAATCGAGTCTTTTATAAATGCCAAAGTCACTGGTGGGTGAGGGCGAGAGCAAATGTTTTAATTCAGGCTTTTTACGACCATTAGTAACGAACTATGATTGAAATAAGTTCCATTGTTACAGTAACTCGAAATCATGCAAAAATAATAATTTAGTTCTTTTGAGAGGAAGGCAGAATATATTAGCATTTAATCTGCCCAAAAAGAACAGTGACTCACCAGAACTATCTAGATGGCAGCCAGTCAGTCACCGTTCGCTGAGCCTCCTGCGTGCAGCCTTGTTGGCAGGAGGAGTGCTGGTGCTGGAGGTTGGGCTCCATTGTGCTGTTACAGATTCTCCGTGGATTTTTATGTGGGCGTGGTTGCTTTTTCTGTTTTTCAGGAAGCACCAACTAATAAACTTCTCTATGCCAAGGATATCCCAACCTACAAAGAGGAAGTAAAATCTTATTATAAAGCAATCAGGGATTTGCCTCCATTGTCATCTTTAGAAATGGAAGAATTCTTAACTCAGGAATCTAAGGTATCATCATTAAAACCAGAAATAAGCTTCTATGTGGTGATTTTTGTTTTCATTTCGGAGTCTCTCCACAAGCTTTTCTTTCTCTTAGAAACACGAAAATGAATTTAATGAAGAAGTGGCCTTGACAGAAATCTACAAATACATCGTAAAGTATTTTGATGAGGTAAGCTTTTACTTAACATCTTCTTTTTAACCTATGGGTCAGTCCCAAAGACTTGGATGTAGCGTTCAGTAGGTCTCAGGACAGCTCTGGCGTCTGCAGCAGCCAGAGGGAGGCCAGGAAGCTTGTCTGAGCTGGGGTCCTGGCGCCAAGCCAGACCCAGCACACGGCCCCGTCTTGTCTTGAAATCGTGTGCCCACCAGCCTGCATCTACATCTGATTCATGGGACCTACAGCCACTCTGACTCAAGTTAACTCTGATGAGTAAATTGTGGCTTTGTTCAAGGGGCCAACTTAGGCGTCACTGTAATCTGCTAAAAATGAAAGCCAAGCCTAGATTCTGTATTCAGTCTTTATATGAAACTATGACATGTTTCTAACATAAGCAACTATTTCAGTAACAACTGTTTTAATTCAGGCTTTTTACAAACATTAGTAATGAACTACCATCACCTTTATGTTAGTTCTCCTTAACCTAGATGCGTTGTTTCCAAATATATGTTAATTCCCCCTTCCCTGATTCCCCCCACTCAGTCATGCTGGGCCAGGCTATCCATGTCAATGGTGAGAATAGCTCACCAATTCCATTTGCTACTTGAAGATCAAGTGAAGAGCTAAGGTAGGGTAGAGGCAATGAGTTCCTTAAACATGATAAGCATCCCTCTTTCCAAGGGTGAGAAGGGAAGCCCTGTGAAGGGCTGGGGAGGGGACGGAAGGGGCTACACTGTCCAGGAGGGGAGGGCGGGGGAAGTGCTGGTACTGAGGAGGATGCCCCTGCCTGCTGCATTGAAGGACAAATACATGCCTGCATGTTGGCTGCCCAGGAATGCTTGCTGTGCTTGGAATGGCTGTGACCTAATGCATAGAGCAGGACCTTGGAAGTCTGGTCTCCTATTTGTAAGCAAATAGTTGGTATTTCTTGAGGTCCTCTATTTTAAGCTAAAGTGTTGTTGATCCTGTGATAATGACTTAGCAAAACAACTTGCAAAGTGAGTATGTAAATAATTGAGGACAGTGTTAGCATCTGTTTCATACAGATTGTACCATTCACAGCATCAGGAATGAAAAAAAAAAACACCCAGAATTACGATGCTAAAACCACAATATCTAAAATAACTGTTCTAATTGTCAACAGATTCTAAATAAACTAGAAAGAGAACGAGGGCTGGAAGAAGCTCAGAAACAACTCTTGCATGTGAAAGTCTTATTTGATGAGAAGAAGAAATGCAAGTGGATGTAAGCAGCCTGGGGCCTGGCTTAATGTGGCAAAGTTCTTCAGACGACTTGGGAGCAAAATGGCGCTTGAGCTACTCTGTGTCGTTAATTTTTTAGGTTTGCACAAAGGTTCCACTTTGAGCACTGTCTTTTTAAGAGGCCAAGGCACATGCACAGCTTTTAGTAAGCGTATCGACCACTGTGCCTGTGTGTGTACTGTGGGAACCCTTCCGTAAATAGAGCTGAAGTGGTTGTTGCAAACAGCCTCGTTGTTTACAGAGAATACAGGGCCAGTAAGCAAGTGTCAGTACTGTCCTGACGGTCTCCACTTAAGCACAATGATATCTAAGTGGTTTTGCTGGACTAGTACAGCGGTGTAGCACTTGTAACTACACCACACCTCTGCAGCAAAAGGGATCCTGCCAATGCTCAAAGCAAGACGTGAACTGAGTCATTTGGGAACGAGGTGGCGGCGTTAGGGCAACCTCCAGGGTTTGCAGCATTGAAACTTTCCCCAGTAGTTCTTGGAAAAGCTGACCGCAGAATTTGGTGGTGTGTACACTTAGCATTTGTGAGTGTGTGTGTGTGTTTAAACCAAAAACTAACAGTGTTGCAACATTGTTGAAAGGGCTCGTGTTTTTCAGTGGTCGCCAACTGCACCCCATCCACCTCACCTCCAGTTTTCACCCAGGAGCTCTAAAGCAAGGAGAGTGAGTGGGCGTTCCCAGCCCAACAGTGGTTTACCCAGACCCCTGGTCCTGATGTATGTTCCTTTTTTATTTATCTTTTCACACTCAATGTATTTGATGGTGGACATGTTGGGTATTGTAAAAAAAATACTAATTTTATTTAAAAACCTTTGATCAGATCGATCTGTGTAAGTGTAAGTCACTCTAATCCTGTATTTCTATACTAGTGGCTCCTTGCTTTAGATTCCTGGTGAACCCTGTGGTTATAAATACTTGTGTGTGATTTAAAAAAAAAAGATACATTTTACATTTCATCAAATTGCTGTTCACACTGGAGTATTATATATAAATAAATATATATTTGAGGCCTAAGGCCTGAAAAATATTAGTAGACAACTTGGTATCTTAGTCTTACTATGTACTTTTGGAAATTATTCCTTACAGGAGAAAGAATTTTAAATACTCATTCATGCCTTTCTTTTTAAAGAACTCCCTATCCAGTTATACTGTAGTCTTTTTATTGCTGAGATTTTTATTCCTGAATTTTTGCTGCTCATGACCAATTTTAATACCACTGTGTTTTCCTTCTATTAAAGCAGAAGAAGTAAAAAGTGTAATTGGCAACTCTCAAGCTTTCCTTGTGGCAGGCACCTTTCACCCTTGGTGCTCTAAGTCCCTGATCTAAAAAAAAAAAAAATTCAGGTAGCAAACAAAACATCGATCACACATTCCTTAAACCCATCTACCAACACTGTACGGAACATCAGAACTGAAATGTGAATTTGTCTTAGGTAAATGCAGTTCTGTTTCTTGACATCTGGTAAAGAGTGAGAAAGATGACACCTTAGCAAACGGTCCAGAGAAAGCAGTAGTCACTGCCCTGACAGGCACCATCCCAATACTGTGCTTCTGACCACTGTCTGTCCAATGGACACATCTCAAAAATACTACCAAATAGGTTACTCTTGAGTATAAGGTGAGAGGTCCGGTCCCCATCCAAAGCTGCTACAGTCTTCAAAGAGGTGAAGGCATTCGGAAGAGAACAGTGATAGGAGAGTTGAGAGGCAAGGGTAGGAGAGTTGCCCAAAAGACTTCCCTCTCTCTAGGGTCCAGAGAACTCCAAGGACGAGCTCCAGCTTTATCTAAGTATGTACCGAATGCTCCACGAGGGTGTCCCTGTCCAGCTCTCTGGCACACGAGCCCTGCATGGAGACTTTGCTCCTCTTCCAGGGACTGTGCTGTTTGGAACTTTGGGCAAGTCACTTACCTCTTTGTGCCTCGATTTCTGTATATTTCTAACCTACCTCACTGAGGGGGTGTGAAGATTCACTAATGTATGTAGCGTGTTTGTCAATCCTCCAGTGAAGAGCACTGTCTAGATCACACTTTGGATCACACTAGCCAAATGCAGGAAATGGCCAAATCAGATGTGTGCTGAAGACAATCAGTCACTGGGGCTCATTTAAACAGCAACTAGAGAAACAAATGGCAAACAGTATCTATTTTCAAGTTTCTTTGCATATTTTTTGGTGCAAAACAATTCATTTATAAATTTGTTTTCTAACAGTAGCGTCTACAGCAGCATTTAAAAATTAATTCTGTTACCTTTTCTGTATTAGAATTGAAAGTCTATTTCTTATTGTATACCTGATTGAAGCTGTACTTGGAGATGAATGTTTTAAATGTCTATATCCAAAAATAAACATTTTGATGTAACTGTGGACTGTTGGTCTTTTGTTCCCAATTTGCTAGCTATAATAGGTTTTTTATTCTTAGTGGTAGCATAGAAATTAATTTTCAAAAGCAAAGTGTCACTGTATATGCTGCGTGAATAAGCAGCCCATTATGCAATAAATAAACCTGGTTTCTTGATAAATGAAGCCAGCGGCTGCTCACTGCATTCCCTTCCTCCACTACGGACTTGGACTTTCTGACTATGATGTCTCCTGGATAATGCTTTGCTAGGTTGACATGAAATTATTCCAGCAGAATTCTTCAAAAAGATGTGACATAAAAAGCTTCCCAAGAGTGTGCAGTGAGAAACAAAGCAAATGAAGGCATATTTAGAGACACAGAACAATGAAGCGTCATCATTTGGGTGGATCCAATAAGACACCTAAATCCTTCTGGAGGGGCCCGCTGCGTTCCGCCAGCGTGAGTCCTTGTTTAAGCAGCCATGGCATTTAATTTTGTACCGATTGCAACTCAAAAAAGCCATAATCAGTGACCTAGTAAACTGCTATACATACAGTGGGTTATTTGTTTGAAATGAAATTAAATGCAAAACATTAATTAGAAAAATATTTATTGTAAGCTCTTTAATAAATTATGTGCACACAGCTTTTTGAAAAGGTAGACTTTTGCAATGAATGTCTGAGTTTTTTATGCCATCTTTTAAATTGTCATATTTTCTCCCAAAACTATAGGTTTATAACTCTTATTGTAAACCACAATAAGAATTTACTGTCTTTGTTATCGTTGAGCACCTCAAAGATAAGGAAAAAGGAACTTTTAAGACATATTTCAAGCAAAATACCAAAAAATTCAAAGTAAAGTCAATTTTATAACTTGATTTCCTAGTTAGTTGCTTTTATCAATTTATTTTTATAGTCTCAAAAGGCCATTAATATATATTCTAAATATCTGAAACTGTCTTTTAATGCTTCGTTTGTCATAACTGGTCTTTTCTTCTTGAGGCACATTCAAGTACTTTGGCAAACAGCAGCGAAGCAGCTCAACGCCTGGTACTTAAGCTTCACATTGTGCCGCGGCTGAGAGCTCATCGCTTTTGATCTGTCCATCTGTACGCCAGGACCGTCACTCCCCGGGAGACCCGAGCTCCTCCAGTTGTCTTCTCTGTGTTGTTTCTAGTTCTTCTAGTCTTTTGCGCAGGAGAGAGAGTTCTCTTTGATGTTGTTCCTCCTTAAAGCAAAAGAAATTGTCAGAAAACCCCGAAGCCTCCTCTCACAGGCCTGCAGCAATGGCAGGGAGCAATGTCCACGCCAGCAGTGTGGAGAGCAGCACGGTGAGCTGCTGACCTGGCGCCAGATCCAGCCTGCTCCTCTCTAGGTGCGGAATTCACTGCAGGGCAAATTAGAAAATGGCGCACTTACGTGGGAACCTTGAAACAAGACCCGAGTTTTACCGTTTATTACAAACAAAGCACTGGGTTTGAGATTCAATTCAATGCCTAAAATCTGTGCTTATAATATAAAACACAATCACTTAGTCCCTCTAAAAACCATTCAGTCAGTTTGATTCCTTCAAGATTTTGGGGACTTGATACACAGAAAGAGGGCAGGTTTGGAAAGCAGACAAGTTTAAAACTTTGTCATTTATTAAGCAACTTTAGGCAAGTCACTTCACCTTTCTGACTAGCTTCTTCCTCAGTGAACTGGACGGGGCACGGTGGCACATGCCTATACTCCCAGCATCTGAGAGGCTGAGGCCTGCCTGGCTACACAGTGAGCTCAAGGCCGGCCTAAACTGCACAGCGAGACCGTCTCACAAAAAACAAGCTAAACCAGTATCTTCCCTCAAAGCATCTTTCACAGTATTACACTAAATGCAAAACACGCATCACACTGCATTAGTAAACGCTCAGCAGGAATATGAGGAAGTTTCACAAAGTCTGCCGTGCGCAGAAACTCATCACACCTTTCTTACCTATTTTGCCCAACAGGGTGTTTTACTCCCAGCACCATCCTTAAAAGACAGAACAAATTCAGAGCTACTTCTCGGCAAATTTTCAGTCCTCAAGAGGGAAGAAGTCAGGGTTAGCCTGCTGCGTATGGCTGAGATCACATCGGCAGTTTGGGTTTAAACTATTTCAATCAAACGTTTGACTGCTTGCCCTAATGCTCTTACCTGCACGAGAGGCGGGAAGCAGAGCTCCACGCCCGGGGCCATGGCTGACGCCTGAAAGCTAACGGGATTGATGGATGCTGGTGGAGGAATGTTAGGGACCAAAATCAGACTTCGAAATTCATTATGTCTTCTCTGGATATCCTTCAGTCTTTTCTGAAGTCTCGTATATTCTTCAAATGGAACATTTTGTCTTAAAAAGAAAAAAAAAAAAGGTACATTCTTTAAGAGTTACATTCACAGTTTTTCTTTTCTGAGACGCAGTCTTGGTATGTAGCTCAGGCTACCCTTGAGCTCACTATGTGGTCCAGGCTGGCCTCGAACTCATGGTGACTGTCCTGCCTCAACTCCCAGTGCTAAGCAAAATTACAGGCGTGGGCCACCATGCCCAGCTTCACAAACTACTTTAAATTGTAAGAGAGTAAGTTCTAAATTATAAGATGTATCTCTATATAAAATACATAAAATTCTACTTAAACAGAAACATTATATATAATTATACATATTGGAGACTATCAATTTATTGTAGTTTTATTTGCCAATTAATCAGATTAAAATTTTTTCCTTCTTTTGCTTTGGTTTCCACCAATGCCCCACCCAGGAATCCCAGAACTAAAGGAGACTCTACCCCAAGAAGGCTTTATCTACAGAAGGAATCAAGAATAAAGAAAATGCTAGGTGAGCTGTGTGGAAGTACAGTTTTTCTAAGTGAAACATGGTCACATACAGAATTTCATTTGTTCAATCTAATTTTATGCAGGTATGATATTGTGATACAGTAAAAATATTAGTATTTGGTCTCTGCTCCTGGTCCCAGGCAGCTCCTGAGACCCTGGGCACCCAGGACTGAAACAACATCTTTTTTAGAGTTATCGCGATGACTGGTAGCTGAGGGGCCCTGGAAAGCTTCAGCATAAGTTCAGGTCACCGGAAAGTCCAAGACATGATCAGGGAGGAGGACTTCCAGGAGCACCCCACCTCCAGCTTCGGGGCGGGGAGAAAAGCTGAAGGCTGAGTCGCTCCCCACTGACCAGGAATGCAGTCAGTTCTGCTTGTGAAATGAAGCTGCCATCAAACCCCAAGGGAACAGCATCGGGGGAGCTCCGGGTCGCTGAACACGGGGAGGTCCTGGAGGGAGACAGACATGCCCGAGGCATGGAAGCTCCACTGGCCGCTCATCCGGACCCTCCGTGATAGTCTCTATGATACACTGTGAGCTGCTTCAGCAAATTCACTGGACCCCAACAAAGGGTCATGGGAAGCCCTGTTCACTGCCTGTCAGCCAGAATCGCAGGTCCCACCCTGAGGCGGAGGCCTCAAGCCTGCAGGATCTGACACTATGCCTAGGAGACAGGCCCTGAATGAAAGTACAGGACACGCAGCCCGTGTGCCCTGCAGAACTGACTGACTGGCGTATGGGAACTCCTCTGCCCCTCTGTCAGCGTTATACTGCCTGTGTGTGAGGAGGAAAAGTATTTGTTTGATCCAAGATCAAACAGTAGGGAACCACAAAGTTGGTGAAGCTACTCAACTTTTTAAAAAAATGACAAAGATAAAAGAAAAGTCTAACTTTCTAGGCCTTCACAGATTATCATTTTTTGAAGATGATTCCTGATCATCAATCATATCAGTAATCAAATATAGTTTGAGTCCTCCGAAATCCTAGAAGACCTATGCCACAACTACTCACTCTCAAATCAACAATACCACATTAATAGAAGAAATAGTGAGTAATTTGGTTTTAAAATGAAATTGGTAGCTTTCTACTTTAAGACATCCTATTATGAAGTTGGCAACAATCCCAATCTAGAAACTTCTAGAATGTTCTTAAAAAAAAAAAGTTAGGGACCAGGGATACGGCTCAGCAGCCTAGCACTTGCCTGGCAAGTGCGAGGGCCTCAGTTTGATTCCTGGTACCAAAAAAAGTCATTCACATTCTGTTAAGAATTACAGCCAATACCAGTGCATATCATAAAATATTACTGCATGATACTATTGACAATTTCCATTACAGAAAACTCTACCGCTAATGAGTTGAATTAAAAATGATTGTATTAACTTGAGTCAAATGAGTCACACAATGCTACTACCGACAGCTTCTCTGCTGAAAAAATGGCAATGCTGGTTATTACCTGTGCTCAGATGTGCTTACAAAACTAGAAGCTATAGCTCAGTCATAGTTTCCACAGCAGGAAACTGATTTTGATTCAAAGTTGTGGCCACGATTTTCAGAATGACACAACAGCCACAAACGCTTTGCTTTTCTCATGTGAGCGTCACGAGCTTGCCTCACTCCTGGATAGCAAATCTCCGCTGTCAGATCCACCATGATGCCAAAACTCTTGGCAGACCCTTTGCTGCTAAGGTGCATTCAGTTAGAAAGGAAAAATGAAGGAATGCATAAGGGGTTATCAAATAGTTTTAGAAATCTTTTAAACCTATATTCCAAATAAAACATAAAGTACATTAAAATGCTCAGAAACGAGGTGCCCTGGCAGCAGAGGAATCACAGGACGCACACACAGAGCTCCCACCTGGTCAGCACCTGATTCTCGGCTTCTAACTCTTCTCTCTTGGCCTCCAACACGTCCACCTTTTCTTGCAGGCGCTTCAGTTTGTTTTCATGAAGAGACTTTCTCTAGAAAAATGATTAATATGATCAAGTATGTGAACAACTTCCTACTCATCAAAACTACACAGTGGACAGTGTTTTAGAGAGGAGTGTTCTCAGCGGCTGCTAGAAAGAGACAGGAGCACACGTGGCTCTTACTGAAAACTGGCAAAGATAATAAAGCGCAGGTTTCCTCACAGCCTCGGCTGACAGAATTACTATGAAGGCCAAATCAGAAAATCGGTGTCAACAGCTCAATTACTACAAATAGAAATCTTCGTCACCCCAGAAGATACGTGTTTACACGAAGTGAAATAAAGTTCAAAGTCAAAGGGATGCTTACAACTGATGTTGCTACCAGAGTAAAAAATTAAAAGATTAGAATACTAAGACAGAGTTTAAATTCCTATCAGTTGAAAAGTATGTCTTTCCAGATATTCAAAGAAAACTATACATAATATACAAAGTGAAAAGTTTCTAAAAGTAAATAATTATGATTTTATTAAATGATATGGAAAAATCTGAGTATAATGCAAAAGGAACACATGAAAAACAGGTAGTATTTTTTCAGTTTCTATAAACACGATTTTGTGGGCTGGGGATTTAGCTCAGTAGCATAAGTACCAGCCTGGCAAGTACCAGGTTGTAAGTTCGATCCCCGGTACCTAACTAAATTAATATAAACAGGATTTTGTTAACTTTTTCAATTATGTGAGCCCAGGGCCTCAAGCATTCTAATTCTAGCACTGAGCTACATCCTGGCACCTTTAGGACAGTGTCTTGCTAAGTTGAGGATAGTGGCCTTAAACTTGAAATCCTCCTGCCTCAGTCTAAAGAGCTGCAATTACAGGCACGTGCGGTCCCACATGCTGCGCTCAGGCTTTGGTGGCGGTGGGGGGTGATCCTGGGGACTAAACCTAAGGCCTTCACACTGAATTACAAGCCCAGCCCTTTTTATTCTTTGTTTTGAAACAGGGTCTCAGTAAAGTCCTAAATTGTCCAGGTTGGGCTCAGACTTGTGGCCCTCGGCTCAGCCTCCTGGAGCACTGAGATTACAGGAAAGCGCCACCTCCGTGGCTGATTTGCTCTGTTTTGTTTTACTGCATACATATAATGTTAGAATTAACTTAGTAGCTGCTTTAAATATTTGTTTTAAATTTTTATTAAAGTATACCAAGTTCACAGGAAAACGCATAGAATGTAAATGTAAAATTCAATGAAAATCACAAAAGAAAAGGTGTGCTTAGCTCATGAGTCAGAAGTGCCCCTGCCTGTCCTGAGCCATCAGCCCCTCATTCCTTCCCAGGGCTGCAGTTTACCTCTTCTATTTGTAAAACTTCGCACGAATGCAGTCATAAGAGAACATGCTTTTGTAAATGACCTGTCTCCTTCACTCAACAGTCACGTTTGTGAGATCTGTGCACGCTGTCACTTACAGTTCATTCACTGCCAGGTACTGCAGTCCCCTTCTGACTACGACATCATTTACTGTCTCCCCCAGTTCACTACAGGGCCATCTGGGTCACGCTGGGTGAGGTATTTCCAGTATCACTTCTTCTCCTCCACCCCCTCGCTCCACATCACCAGCACCCGATGGTCTCCTCGCTCTCCTATCTTGGCAAAGGAACCTCGCTTTTGAGCTGTATGTCCACAAGTATTTATGGATGCATAGGTAGTTAAGGCACCCACCCACCTACACATCCACCTACCCGTATGTAAAAGAAATCATATAGCGTATATTTTGCATAAGGATTTTTCTCAATATTTTATCTATACAATTAAGCCACGTTATTGCATGTTACAATATTTTTATTGTCACCCATTATGCAAATGTACCATATTTTATCCACTTTTCTGTTGAACTATTTCTGGTTTAAGATATAAAGGTTTTGTTTTTTGTTTTGGCACTGGAGATTGAACTCATGACCTCCTGCTTGGCAAGAAGGCGCTCATGCTAAACCCGTGGTCCGAGATACAGTTTTTATGGATATTCCTGAACATGTCTTTGATGGATATGATTCTCATTTTACAGAGTATATACCTAAGGCTAGGATTATAGAGTGGTTTTTTGTTTTTTTTTTTTTGAGTATTCTTGTTTTAGTATATATTTCCAGCTTTCGAAACTGATTATACCGATTACATGCCTACCACTAAGATATAAAAGTCCTAGCTATTTACATCCTTGTTAATAGGGTCAGCCTTCTAAGTTTTACCTGTTTTTGGTGACCAGCAGTAGCATCTCAGTGTAGTTTTTGTTGGTATCTTCTTGATGGCTGGACATGTTGAGCGCCTTATACACACTGATCACCTGTCTACCCTTTTCTGTGATGTGGGTATTATAGCCTTGTGCTCATTTACAGAAAATTATTTTGAGTAACCAGTTCCTTACTGATGAAATTTACTGATTACATTAAGTTATTTACTTTATAAATTTACACTATGACTCCTTCGTAGATACATGGGTCACAGATTTACCTAGTCCCAGAATATAGTAGCATTTTGATAAAAAGAACCTTCCAGTTGTAATAAAAGTATCATTTGTAGTTAGTACTTTTTGTGTCCAGTTTTAAGAAATCTTTACTTAACCCAAGTTCCCATGATTGTCTCCTAACATTACTTCTGAAAGCTTTACTTTTGCCTTCGACACTGAGACCTCTAGGTTCATTTTTACCTATGTGGAAGTCTGATTAAAGATAACCCTGAACTTAGAAGATTAACTTTCTCTACTGAACTGCATTGTAGTGGTACCTCTGTACGGACAGGAGTCCATATGCTCACTGGTTTGTCTGTAGACTGCATTCGGTCCTATTTGTCTCTGTCTATCTATCCTTCTGCTGATATCACAGTTTGAATTACTGCAGGTTCTAATAAGCAGTATTGTCTAGAAGTGTAAGTCCTCTGGTTTTACTGTTCTTCAAGACTGCCTTGATTATTCTATATCTTTCTGTTCTCATATAAATCTTAGGATCTGCTTTCTAATTTCAACAGAGAACCTGCTGAGAGATTTTGATTAAAACTGCATTCAATTTACAGATCAATTTGGGAAGAACTGACATCTTAATAATAATAGTGAATCTTCTAAATCATGAGCAGGTTAGATTTCTACTCAAAGCATTCTTAAATTTTTCTAAGCAGTATTTTTTTAATCTAGAAGTCTTACATGTCTTTCATTAGATTTGTTCCTAGGTATTGTCTTCTATGCTATTGTAAATGGCATTTAAATATTTTATTCTGTAATTCTTATGCGCATAAAGATAACTGATGATTGTTATTTAACCTTGTATCCAGCAAATTTACAATTCCACATATTTTAATACTTCATAGATTGGCTTATATTTTATGCACACACATTTATATCATCTACGAATGACAATTTATTTCCTCCTCTCTCTGTTATATCCACTTCTTTTTCTTGATTTCTTATATTACCAAACCTAAAATAAACAGTAAGTAAAATGGTGTCACTGGATCTATTGCTTTGTTCCTGAACTTAGGTGAACAAAAGACGGCATTCAATAGTAATCAGTAAGTCGTAGGATTTTTCTAGATACCACTTAGCAGATTGAAAATGTCTTTCTATTTATAATTTGATAAAAGTTTTCTTTTTTAAAATGACAAAAATGTAGAGTTTTAACTTGTCTTTCTGCATCGATTTAGATAATAAACATTCGGTTCTCCCTGCCTGGTACTGACCACTGAACTGGAAGTCTTTTACTGAGCCCTACCCCTATCCCTTTTTACATTTGTTACTTTGAGATGGGGTCCCATGAAGTTGCCCAGCCTAGGCTCAAACTTGTAATCCTCTTAGCTCAGCTTTCCTGAGTGCTTTCCTGGGATTACAGGTATGGGCCACCATACCTGGTAGATTCGCTTCTTTGTTTTTTTAGTGCTGAATTATACTGATCAACTTCGTATGTTAAGCTTTTATTTCTAGAATTAAGCCTACATGTTCACATTACTATTTTAGTGTATCAGTGGATTCAGCCTGCTAATATTTATTATTTTTACATCCATGTTTATGATGTAATTCTGCTTATAATAACTGCATCAGGTTCAAGCCTCATAAAATAAGTGGGAATGTTTTTCCCATTTTTCAATTTTCTGAGAGTTTAAGACTGGTATTATTTCTTCCTTAAGTATTCAGAAGAATTTACCAGTGAAGCCAAATGAGGCATTTTCTTTGTAGAAGGTTTTTAATTAAGAATTCCATTTCTTTAATAGAAGACTCTTCAATTTCCTAATTCTTTTTCCATTCATTTTACAATGTTCTTCAAGGAATGTATTCATTAAATCTAAATGTTATAAATAAATAAGACAATCATTTTTAATATCCTCTTTATTTTACAACCTGTAAGCTATGTGGCGATGTCCCTTTTTCATTAGTGATACCATTCACTTGCATTATCTAATCTAATCTTTGGATTGTTTAAGAATCAGTCTTGCTAAGCCTTTATCAGTTTATTAATCTTCACAAATCAACCCTTAGCATTTTCCATTTTCCACATTTCCTGGCTGTTTCAATGATTTCTGCTTATTATCCTGAAGATGCTGGTGATGTCTGCTGTCAAATCTACCCACTGAATCAATAATTTAGTTAATGAGTTTTTTAGTTCTAAACTTTTAAAATGCTTTCCAGTTGCTTAGTGCAATTTTCAAGCTTCTATTTCTGAGCATATGAAATACGTTCATTTTAAATGCTGTGTTTGATTACTGTTCTCTGGACCCCCTTTGGAAGTCTGTTTATATTGGTTATTTTTCTTGTTTTTTTGTTATATTATTTCATTATGTGCCTATTTTTGTATTTTTAAATTAATACAATATATATTTCTAAGAGCAGTTTAAAATTTACTGCAAAACAGAACAGAAAGTACAGAATTCCCCTATACTGCCTCCAACAGCCAGTTTCCATTACTAATCACACCTTACATTGTTATGGCACAAAATTGTTAATACTGATATGCTCTTATTAACGAATGTCTAAAGCATAACATTAGGTGTCATTTTTCATGTAGCATACTTTCCTGGGT